CCTGTGATCAAAAGCTATCTTTGATTGATTCCTTCATATGTTTGGGTCTACCCGTTAGTCAATATTCTACGTTAAACCAAGATTAAACCAGCTCTCTCGCTCTCTCTCTCTCTCTCCCTCTCTCTCTCCTCTCTCTCTCTCCTCTCTCTCTCTCTCTCTCTCTCCCTCTCTCTCTCTCTCTCTCTCTCTCTCTCTCTCCCTCTCTCTCTCTCTCTCCCTCTCTCTCTCCTCCCTCTCTCTCCTCTCTCTCTCTCTCGCTCTCATCTCTCTATTGATCATTCACATTCGCTCTCTCACTCACCCACTCACTCACTCACGCCCCCATTCACTCATCCACTCCCGTGCGCGCCCATTCATTTACTCATTCTCCCCCTGTCCCCGTCTGTCCGTCTCTCTCCTACGCACGTTCCACGCGTGAGATGGTCGTGTAACGTCCACTCGCGGCAGAATGAATAAGCAGAGCTTGGCGTGCCTCGGTCATAGGTGGCGCCACTGTTTCCTTTCGGCCTTCTGGGCGGTCGGGCTGTACCGAGAGTTGGGTCTTGTAGGTGGCGCTAGGGGCGCTGCCGTCGGTGCGTCTTTATTCTACATGAAGGACATGAGCTGCGGTAATTTCTCGCTTCCCTCCGTAACCAACTCTAGATGGGTACAAGCAGGGTGACATTTTGACATAGTCACATCACATTGAACGCTAACTCGCTTGATGTTTATGATCAATTGTCTCAAATGATGCATCAATTTAACAACCGTGTCATTTCCACTTTAATCTTTGATATACCTCGAAGGGGGAGCTGGCATCAATATTAGTTAGGTACTGATGATGCTAGGAGAGAAAGGGGGATTGATTGGCAGCTTACGAACAGCGATAAATTTATAACGATTGAAATGGTGATTCAGATTTGTATCGGTTATATGAACGCGAATCACGAAACGACTCAATGCTGACTTAATAACAACCCGGAAGGCAATTCAGACTTGTTCTGGCGCTGAGCTGCCGAAGGAGCAGAATAATGTTTAACGTTTACGATGTTGTACTCTCCTTATCCAATTGTAACAACTAAAAAAAAAAACGAATTTATGGTGGTCGCGTCGTGAGGGCGTGATCATTGCGTTTCCGTTGATTGATGATCAGACGGCCGTGGCGTAATCTCATTCAACTCCGGTGAGCCTGGGGTGTTAGGCCGGCGTGAGGTCGTGTGGTCGACGTTGACAACTTAAAGATAATTACGTTAGCGGTCTCTGTGAGTCCGAATCAGCAACATATCTGCAGTAACCCTCCCTTGTTTCCCAGACAGATTGTTAAATTTTCACGCTATATTTACAAACGGACGATACAATACTGGTCATTTTCAACCGGTGTACCACGATCGGTTGTCAGCTCGCCAATGCCAACTTAGCCTTAAATCTAATCCTAACGCCCTAACCGCAAAAAGATTATTTACAAAGCATCGCCAATTGAACTGTCATGACGTCATCTGACGTAGTTTGACGCGTCAGTGGTGACCAGCGCCCCAAAAATGACACCACCTGACCTGTTTCTCCTCCCCTCTCCCTGCATTGGCTCCCACACCTCACTGCGGCCAGACCGCGCGCGCGATGGCCGACGGATAGCGCTCCCTCCAAAACCAATGTAATGGTGAGCCATTAGCCTACACTGACCATTACTGACCCGCCCCGGCTGTCTCGCTAAACCTCTCCCTACCCCATTGGTAAGGCCGGACTAGTCAGACCCATTAGTCTGCCTGCTCACCCTTACAAACAGGCGCACCCCTGCCGCGCCGCTCGGTCGGGAGCGGAATGTAGCGACCATCTCCCCTCCCCTTCCCTACCGAGTCACACTCCCACGATGTTAAATCCATTACCCTCTAATGGTGGCTCAGGTTAGACCTCAGGGAGTGGCATTTGTAATCCAGATCAGAGACATCCGATGGGTAAATGGGAGGTGAATTGTCCATGACGGGGAGGCAGTCTTGATGAGGCGGACAGATGAGATGACTCACTTGACAGTTGATGATGGTTGACACGTCGAATCTCCGTCGCGGCAGCAGAGTCCCTCCGCTCCGGCAGGGGTGGGGTCGGCCAGCCTCAGACTGAGACGTGCCGGCCGACCCGCCGTCCAGATGAGCTCTCCTCCCCCGTGGTCTGTCACCCGTGGTCTGATACCGTGCTCTGTCCCCCTCTCTCCTTCTCCGCTGAGTTTTGTTCGCCTGTGATTTCCGGGCCGGAGGTTCCGGGCGTCGCCGGGCCTCCCCGACCGGGGCAGAAAATTGGCGACATCCCGTCTCGCATCCGGAGTCGAGACCGTCGTCCTCCTCCTCCATTCCGCCGGAACGTGACGTCATCCTCACTATCACGGCTCATCCGTCTCAGCTGTCTCCTGCCGGATGACGTTTCACACTCGATTTTCGCCGGATGTCGGTCCCTGCCTGTGCCGGACGGCTGACCGCAACGGCATCCTCCCACCTTCCTGTCAGCTGCGTCGGCAGGATGTGCGTGGCGCCAGGCGTCGGGAGGCTGGTCGAGCACCGGGAGCAGGTGTTTCCGGCTGCGTTACGTTTGTCGGCGGCCACTGCGCCGGCCCGGATGGGTGTGTTGGAACTCCACCCTTCGGCGAGCCTTTGATCTTCGCTTAATGGTGACCGGCCAACGGGTCGGGGGATCGTATGGTCGACTCCCTCCCCACGCCGGCTCAGCGCCGCGGCAGGCAGTGCGATCGTCCTTACGTATAGAGTGTGTGAGATATCCTTTTTGAAGTACGGGGAAAAAATGTCACAGCTTCCAGCTGTTACATTATGAGAAATGGCCTGGTCGTGCGAGGGTTAAGAAGTAGTTTTGGTTCACTCGTAACATGTGACCTGACCTGACCTGACCCGACCTGGCCTAAATGCACGAAAACATCATCTGTGATCAAAACCTTGAATTTCGTGATCAGCACCCCGCAAAACCCTATAACAGCTTCACTTTACGAAGCTCTAACAGGTCCCGATTCCCCGACTTTTGAGTTATATTGACCTGTCAACCAATGACCTAGGACCTTAACCCTCGCCGGCACAGGCCATTTTGCGTCCTTCGACGGCACAAGGGGGTACGACCCCCCCCCTCGCGTTTGGCCCCTGATCGAGCTAGAGCTTCGCGGAAAAAACGAGTGTGTTGCCCGTCACGAGAGGAAGCCGATGATACCCAATTTTAAAGTCCTAGGTCATCGGGTGACCTTCCAGGTCAGGTCAATGACCCAAAAACCGGGAAAATCGGGACCTGTTAGAAAGTCGTAAAGTGTGGCTGCTGTGTGGTTTTCCGGGGTGCTGAAAACGAATATCGTATTAGTTTTGATCAGAGATGATGTCTTTAAGCATTTAGACCAGGTCGGGTCAGGTCAGGTCAGGTCAACCGGTAGGGGTTGTGACGGGTATTCGTAATACGTGTCAACCGCCTCTGACAGCTTCGTAACATGTTACGAAGGCACCAAAACTACTTCGTAAATGTTCAAATGGTTGCTAAATTCGAATTCAGCTCCAAAAACTAGGCTAGAAGCATGTAAAACTCGAAAAAGTGAACCGAGGTCACCCGAGGTCACCAAAGGTCAATGACCTGACCTGACCTTCAGCTGACCTTGAAACCCACCGTAATGTATGGGAGCAACATCAAATCACATGTTTGAACGTTTGAAACCACGAAAAGCTTGCAAACGCGCGGCTAATGCGAGCCGACATACGCCGAATCGCGGTTCCAGCCAAACATGGTCTCGGAAAAGAGGTCCCAGGTCAAAGGTCATTTGGGTCAGGGTCAAAAAATTTCAGGGTAGGTGTAAAATTGATTAATGCGAGGGTACTGAAAGTTTCGTCGCGATCGGCCGCTTTTTACGCGAGTTATTCGCGAAAAACCTTAGGGGGGGGTGTGCCGGCGAGGGTTAAAATTGGGTATCATCGGCCTCCTCTCGTCACGGGCAACACGTTTTTTTCCGCGAAGCTCTAGCTCGATTAGGGGCTGAACGGCAAAGGGGTCCAACGGACCCTCCTCCCCCTCTTTACGATAGACGCTGGCAAAACACCAATATGGGCGATGGTGAAAATACAGCTGCTGTCATAAAAATTCAGCTTGAATCAAAGGTCAGGCTTGCCAAATTTCAGCTCTCGCAGCTATCACAAAAATAAACATGTGGAGGCGGCAACCGCCTCCCACCCCCCTTCTCCTCTCGGCCACTGCCAGCGAGGTTTAAAGCGTATCATACACGTTACAAAGTATCATATCAGAGGACCCGCCCCAGCAGTCATATGCACTGAACACAAACTTATTACCCACGCTAGTGTATCGGCACCATAGCACATGGTCGAGACTGTCGTCAGCCACGGACTCGCACTCGACCAACCCTCTGAGCCCGTTGACTTCGGGTGACCTTGACATGTCAAGCCTGATCGGCGGCCGGCCGCTGTCGTGCGGTCGTTACACACGGAGGGGAGGGAGATACAAAGCTCTACGTTAAAGCTGACCTCTGACCTTTCCCTGCGCCCTGGTCACTGACCCCGCTCCATGTCGCTGGGCGGTGGCATGGCGGTGGAAACCGGTTCTAGCCTCTACACATGCCACCATTCTAACCCTCCCCTCCCCACGCTACTACGCGGCGTGGAGTACGCTCGTGCGTAACTGGGCGGAGCAAGGGGGCACGCGATACAGGGGCGGAACTGGTTGCCCTCCCGCTCGCCGAGCGACCAACGACTAATACCCTGGAGAACCGTACATGCATATGCCACAAACGGACTACGAGCACATAACCACGACTGAAGGCAACAAAGAGAACGATCAACTCGTCACTTTTGGTGACATACCATTTGTTTGTTCATAAGATGTCCGAACATATGCCTCCAACCGTGCATAAATGGGTCCACTTCTATTATCATCGGACAGTATGCCGAACGCATTGAAACAAAAACTACATAGAGTTTTTTAAATGAATATATAGCATTCAGCAACTACATAGTCTGTAAGCATAAACCATTAATTGCCTAGCCACCCCAGAATGTAACTTCTTTCTGGCCTTTCCCGTAATGATTCCAGTAGGCCAAGTTGAACACCAAGAAAGCAATCGGAAACAACAGTTTTGAAAAGTTGTCGATAAAGTTGCCCTTTTTCTTTGCAAAACGTTCAGCGACCCAGTAGACGGACAGCTTCAAGACAGCGAACGGCGTCTTGCCTTCCTCCGGCTGAGTGAGTACAACGACCCGAGGCTGTCTCAGTCCCGCCGCGATCGAGTTGATTCCCAGAACAGTGACGGGCTCTTTCACAGGCTTGGGCTTTCTGTCGCCGTCCTGGGCCAGCGTGAAGCGGAAGTTGTAGGCGAGTGTGAACTCCACCATCGCCAGGAACACGGTGACGATGCAGAAGAACATCCAGATGTCCATGGCCTTCACGTAGGAAACTGGAGGAAGAGAACGCTGGATGGTTGTAAACTGGGTGGCGAGGGTCAGCAGAGAGGTAACGCCGAGCGAGACCCGGCCCGGGACGTTGTCGACAGGAATCCAGAAGCTCAGAAAGGATACAAGGACGATCAGTATTGACGGCAGATACATCTGTACGAATAGTAGCTGAACTGACGATCGAAAACGAAGTTGGCCTGAATGCAGCTCTGGTTTAGGAAGTAAGATCCTTCGTACATGTAGTCATAGTAGCAGCTGTAAGGGGAGACGTAGTTCAGCTCGTACTGTGGGATCTTGAACTTGAACTTATCAAAGTGGATGGCGAGGGGCTTGAAAGAAAGATTTGCGTAGCGTCCGTCCAAGCTGTAGGACTCAAAGGCCATCACGCAGGCTTGACGGTCCAGAGGGAAAAAGCGGAAATCATACGCGCAGTAAGTGGTCAGCGTAATCCTCTCAGAAAAGAACACCTCGTTAGTTGATTTGGTCAGCTTGAGTCCAGCGTTTCTGCGGTTCACAAAATGGCGACTTGATCTTTTCTCCTGTTTGAAGAAAATATCAGGGATCCAGATTTTATCCAACTGCGCGTGATTGAGCACGATGAAAGGCCGTTTCTCACAGACCGGGTACTTGATCCTGAAGTCCACCCAGTACATCCTGAGGTAGAGGTCGACTGTGAAGTCCTGTCGAAGCTCGTTGATCTCAGTGATGGAGATGATCCACAGCGTGAAGTAGATGTTGAGCGGCACGCCCTTCAGCAGCGGCGGCATCAGCTTGTCGTAGTCGGCAGGAAGGACGTTGTAGGTGGGCTGCTCCACGCAGGTGCTCTCATTGGCATTTTCCTCTGCCGTCAGCCTGAAATATCAGAACAGGCTTAGTATGTTGATGAGCTTTATATCGTGGCAAATTTAGCGCACGGATTCTTCTATTGGCGAATATTTCGAATTATTTGACGAACTTCCTCTATGTACTTGATGGCATAATAGGTTAGCTACATAACTTTTGAAGATATTCGAGTCTCGCCGCATATGAAAGACTAATATCTAAGCTAATATCGTAAGGTATTATGACAAGTAAAGTTATTTATAATTCACTTAACATCAATGCCAACATATGTTTGTACTCACAGTCTTGGGCTATAGCCGTCCTCCGCTTGGCAGATAGTCAGATGAATACAGCGCTGCAGCAACAGCAGCAGTAGCAGGCACTTCATCGTTCTCTGGCTGACTTCAGAGCAGATTGTAGGATCTCATCTCATCGCAGACGACTATGGGCGGTGAGACGGTCTCGTGCCGACTACCGTCGGTCCCAACGGCGACTGAGCCGCGACTGACCCGAGTGACCGGTTCATCGGTGCTGCACCTCCCCTCCCCCCCACCACAGTGCGCCCCAACCCCGAACTGAACACGGCCTAACAGCGTGAGCGATACTGATCTCGAACAAACATGCGTGGCAACGCTTATGGTCCACTCGACAGGAAGTCTCATCAGCCGTGAGCTGTTCATCCATGCACAATGGAGTTGACCTGATCTCGATAGGACTGATCGTTTTGCTGATGGTTCGTGTAGTGAGCTTCGATTATCGATCTGGGACTGGTTCCATCGGCAGAGCGGCACCGAAGTTTGAGTGGTCAGTTGCTGTGGCGATCAAATTAGATGAGAAAAACGATGAATTGGCTTTTCGATTGATAAAGAATATCGCGTTGGATTGAGGTTGGATCGTTAAAGCGTGATGTCGGGAAACTGAATGGCCACAAAAGCATTGATAAGCAATAGCATCAAAGCCAAAGGTCAACGAATATGACCAAAACTGGTAGATTGGTGCACTCTTACTTATTGGCAACGATAAAACGTCCCCTGCTGCACAAAAGCACGTCAATCCAATCAGAATCTACAGTGCTGAAGGCCGAAGTGGTCTAAAGTGAAGTAAAGTGAAGTGAAGTATGCAAAGCGCAATTGATTGGACAACATGATGCTGCTCCATTTTGCAGTTGATAAGCATTAGACATGGGTGTAATCGTGCTTACAATGTGCGCATTACATTTTCATAGAGCCTAATCATTTCTTGAACTTGACTTCGGTGTGTTAATGAATTTACGTCCATGTAATTTAGCGTCCATTCGCTGCATTTGTTGACTTATACATATCTCGCTTCCAGAGAAAGTCTACATTTCAGCCCCGGTACCTCTGTTTGGCAATATATTTAGCAAACACGTCGGACAGATGCTGATAGATTTCAGTAAAGTCTAGCAACAAAGAGAGCACGTTTTCAACATAGACACACAAAACGATACGCCAGCTTTACAGTACCTATATTATGCAACTGCTGCATCGTGCAACATAGTTATAGCTAAAAGTACCTCATGCCTATTGTACAGAACATGCTTAGCATAGCTTCTTGTCATTATCTACCGCTGAAATAAATAACAAGTACCTAAATGCTATCCAGGACATGTCAGCCATTGAACCTTCCTCTTATCACCTGTTATCACTCTAATACCCCATAAATATGAGCTACTTGATGTCAAAACGCTTATCCAGTGCATCGTCGCACCGAGGTCTACGCAAATATCTAACTAAGACATGCACATGCTGGTACGTATATACTGTGCAGAGCAAAGGGGCACACACATTGTTTATCGCTGCAGCGGTTTCCCCATCACTCGCAGGAATAAGAACGGCAGGTATCTGAATCTACTTTACCAGTAAAACGCCTTTTGGGCGAAGAACGAGCGAGCGAGATAGTGAGCCCTGCACGTGCGGAAGGGCGAGAGGGTGCTTCCAACGGGCTTGCACAAAGCACCCTTCTAACCGGTCGCTAGCGGTGTGCCAAATTTGAACGCAATCGGCCCAGCCGTTCCTGAGATCAGGAAGCGGCATTCTGCACGTGCGCACGTGCAAACGGGGTCCAAAATGACTTTTGCACGGCACCCTACTAACTGGTCCCCAACCGTGTACCAAATTTGAGCGCAATCGGCCCAGCCGTTCTCGAGATCTGGAAACGCCCCCTGCACGTGCGCACGTGCAGTAGCACCTTAACCGCAACACATGGGAATGCATTGCCTGCTGGGTGCCTACCTGTATGCCAAGTTTCAGCGAAATCGCCCCAGTAATTACCGAGTTACTGAAATGGGAACAAATTTGGCACCTCTTATTGTTGTATTTTGCACGGTCACCCCCAGTGCACGTGCACTGGGGGTGACCCACATGCATCGAGAGTATCCCATTTTGGGTAGAAGGGATGCTGCTACCCTACAAAAATTACCGCAAGTCAATCGCCCAAGCGGCTGCTGAGATATGAGCCTCTCAAAATCACTACTTTTGCAAAACAGCTTGAAAACCCTTGACTTTTCACGTGGCACGTGCCACGACGGTCACTGAGATGTATCAAAAGTAGTCAATTACGGGGTAGAAGGGATGGGGCTACCCAACAAAAAAGACCGCAGGCCAATCGGTCCAGCGGTTGCTGAGATATAAGCCTCTCAAAAGCGTTACAGGCCGGGCCGGGCCGGGCCGGGCCGGGCCGGGCCGGGCCGCTCATACTGAGATTTTTCCGTTATATTGAAAAGACTTCGCTTCGCTCGCTGCGCTCGCTCGCTCGTAATAACCATTGGTCGTACACATTCATATCATCCCTTGTCTGTTGTAAATTATGTAGCGCTATATACCTATCCCATATCTATCCTACTATATAGCTGCGTTGAAATACGCTCTTTTGGTAGCCACAGTCCAAAGCAAATGCTGTTGACTGAATATGTCTTTCATTGTCGTTTGTCAATGCTCATAACCATGCTGATATGCACTTCTGGCGAAGGCAGCACATTCTGGTGGCAATGTTACTGTCCCTGTATGTAACATGCTAGTGATTGTGATGCTGTTTGATATCGTCGAACACAATCTGCATGGGGCAAGCTTTACTACAGCATACGAATAACCTCCCTTAGGACTGCGAGCCTTGCCCTAAATGCCCTCTCCCACAGTAAGTCCTTTTCGGACCTACTTTGGGAAAGGCCCGAAGAGGATCTATCCAAGGTCTGATTTTCTGTTTCTTTTACTCTACGTTCCTCCCGGCCCGGCGGGTAAACTCCGGAAACAGATGCTTAAGGTTGATGAAAGTGATGTCCTCCTGATCAGAGAGAGGTACAGGCGTTACCGGTCGCCAGCCGGACAGTGGAGGGTGAAAATCGACCCCGGTGTCGGAGTCTGCCGTCCTGGAGGGAGTGTCAGTCTGCCAGGTCCAGACCCCAGGGGTTGGCGCTGGCCCAGGTGCCGCAGGCGTGGGTCGCGGCTGTGCGACAGGGGCTCGTTGGAGGGATGGCCGAGGGATAGGGGCTGGTGGAAAACCACGTCGTGGTGTGAAAGCGGGGAAGAAAGGGGAATTAGGGTAGCCGCTAAGACCTAGGTTGGTGACGGTTGGTGACGGTGAGAATGAGAAGTCTGGCTTTGGAGTTGTGATGTGAATAGTTGCTGGCTTGCGGCGAGGAAGACTGGCGAAAGGCCTTTCTTCTAGAGGGACATTGCCATCTACCGTCGGTAGGCTTTCGTCAGCTCCTAGCGTCAGCGCCTCAGGAGCTGGGATATTTTCCAGAAGTTCAATGTCTTCTTCAGCAGGTCGAGCTTCCACCACTAGTTTCCGCTTTCCTCCGGGATGACTGACCACTTTCCCTCTCCCGATTATCTCCGGTTTGCCGCCGGGTCGCCTTCGAACGAACACAGCCGTCTTCTCTCGGACCTGGCCGACTGTCTTCCTGATCCAGCCCTTCAGTCCCTGACGAGCCAGCTCGGCCGTCTCTGGATTCACAAACCCGAGGACTTTCTCTAGGGTTGAATTGGCTGGCCTAGGACTGACATTCTGAACGCTTTGACTGGGTGAGAGGTTTCCGTATCTTCTTCAGATTCCAGGGTGTTCACATCGGTTTCATCAGAAAGGCTTTCGTGCGTTTCATCGTTTGGGGCGATGAATGTTGAAGGCGGCTGTTTTCTATTTTGACCCAGCGCTGAAATTGATGATTTTTCTGTTTGACCAGTCCCAAATACCGACCTTTCGGTTTCTTGGCTAATAGGTGGTCCTGCAAGTACAGAACGCAATAAGTGCTCCTCAGCCTTTGTCCGAGCACCAAGGTCACTGGTTCTCTCACCCGGTGCATTGTCTTCTATTCCTGCGCCATCCCTAGTATTTGAGACACTGTTTAGTGGGGACGGAATCTGCTGTGCATCAAGCGATGCTACCACAGGAGGGCTCTCGCCATCATCTGGTATAGGCTCAGGCGCCACAGTTGGAATAAATTTCACATCAGGATGGTAGGTGGTGACGGTTGGCGTGACGTCGCTAATATCCAAATCCTCCGTGGGAGGAGGGGTTGTATAGTCAAGACTTTCTAGATTCTTGGTGGTTGCAGGCGATGACGGCTCGAAGGTCTCTGGGCTCTCTGTGGAATGAGAGGTTGTGAAGTCTAGCTCGAGTGGACTCTCCGCAGATCTAGGGGATGTTGTTTCTGGAACGTATGGAGTTTCTGTCGTCGGTGGATCAGTGACATCATCTAGGGTCGTAGGATTTTCTGTTGTAGTAGAGGGAGCATCGAGATCCTTCGCGGATGAAACAGCAAGAGACGGTTGGCGCAGCCTTGTTGGCAAGCGTCGTCTAGATGGCCGTCGCCTTCGTGGAACCGGGGAAGTCGTGGTGGGTGTCGTGGGAGGCGGCGTGGTGGTTGTCGTAGGAGGCGGCGTGGTGGTGGTTGGCTTTCGTCGCACCGGGCGAGGCCTTCTCAGCCTGTTTCTAAGACGAGTTCTGAAAGACGGTCGGCGGCGAGATGAAGACGTGCGGAATCGATTCCGTCTTCTGGGTTCTTCCTTTTCTGTGTCTTCCTTGTCCGTGACATATTCTGGATCCTGCGATTGGGGCAAGTTTTCGGCTTGGTCTTGCAACAACGTCTCTTCGTCGTATTGTTCGGTAGTGGTGTCTATGCTACTTTCTGCCGTGGAAATGTTGTCTGTTATGTCTAGAAGATCATGATCATGATTTGATGCATCTGTTCCCAAGAATGGATACTCACTGTCATATTCTATAGTAGATGTAAGATCTTCTTCTGGAATAGGTGTAGTTTCCAAAATGTCTTCCGTGGGGGAGAGCGATGGTGGTGTGAGGACATCGCTAGCATGTAGTTCTGCTGTAGTGGTCATCCATGTTTTCTTTTTCATGTTCATCTGCGATAAC